ATGTATTAAAACCTCATTAATTTTAATAGTTTAATTTTTTTTTATTTTTTATTATAAATTCAAACTTCTCAAATTGTAAAAATTTCATATTTAATTTTTTTTAAATAAACTCGTGTAATACATGTCTCACACCTAGTTTGTAGATATTTCTGAATTTGGATCAAAACTATGACGACCAAAAGTGAAAAATAGTAATCTTCTTCCCCAATTGATCGATTTATGCGAGCAGCAACTGCGAAACCCAGAAGATACAATCTGATGTGAGACATTGTAACTACGAAGCACCAGAAACATTTCAATTGCGAAACACATCTATCAAATTGCGGGATCCAGCAACTACAAAGCATCTGATTACGAGTCTGAACACATACGAAGCACCAAATGCGAGACTGAATCAACTGCGAGACATAGAAATTGTGAAGCATTCATTCCAATTACAAGACCATCATCACTGCGAAGGTATTATTCAAATCTGCAAGACAATTGATTTCAATTAAGAGACCTGCGCTCCAATAGACTATGTTCCGACTTCCGACTGTCTTCATAGCTTCGCACCAACTGCCTTCGCAATTCCGATTGAGGGACAATTGATTTAAATTGTTATGCATCAGATACGAAATTAAGATACTGATTGTGAGAACTTTATTAACTGTGAAGGCTTATTCCAAATGCGAGACCAACAAACAAAATTGCCAGTCCATCGCAACAACTGCCTTCGTTTATTTAATCTGATTTTGACTTTTCTTTCTTTGACCATCGAAGAAAGAAAAGTGATATTCCCTGACTTAAAATTCTAATACGAGTTGAGTTGACCTGATTTGATTGAGTGGGTCTGATTGAGTGGGTGATTTGAGATACATATATCTTTATCATATCAAAGAACTGGCTTGAAATCGAATCAATTATAGATTGACACAGGATCACAACTGAATCTTCAAATCAATTTCCACAATTAAATTTCATAACAAATCAATGAGCTCATGAGATCGACAAAATCAGATCGATCACAAGAATATTAATGTAAACAATTGAGCAAAAGAATGATGAATTTTAACATTCAATTGATGAATCGCAATCCGACGAACAGTTCAAATATATAAAACTGAATCACGATCAGATGAGAGATATGAATGAGATAATTTTAGAGAAAATCAAGCTTTGAATTGAATCGGTAGACAATTTTGATCTTAAACCACATGAAGTCGTGAATCACTTTTGACGGAACAACAGGAAGAAGTAGTCAAGTAGATAGCAAAATTTATTTGATTTTGGGCCTAGAATTGGATTCAATGAACAATAAAAAGATTTAATTGATTTGGACACAAAATAGATCAAATGAAAAGAATAGATCAGAAAATTGGATCGGGCTTTGAATTAAAATAAATCCAATTAGATATGAATGATGAAGAGTATCATGAAAATAAGAATATGATTCAAAAAATCAAGAAACATATCAACATCTTTTGAATTGTGAAGAATTTGTCAAATCATGAATCGATACTCGAAATGATCACCCAGATCTTCAAGCACCACTCTGATACCAATTGTTATGACATTAAACTCGGATTTGACATGCGGAAATTATAAGAACACAATCCGAATGATATGATTTGGTGAACAAGATATTGTAATCAACTATTGAGAGGAAATTAAAAAATAAAAGGAAATTGCAATTTATCTACTCTAGGCTAAAGCATATCAACTCACATAAGGACTATATCTTGCCACACACAGGGAGTACAATATGTCTATTTATAGGCAAATACACAAGTCAAGGTAAATAACACACATAAGTCATAAAGAGGACCCTTGTCATTATCCATATAGAACTTTGCATCAAATATTTGGAATTACTTTAGTTATACTTTTCAAATTTTCTTTCAAAGATTGTTCACCGATAACCATCATTCTTACGAGCTTGGGCTTTTTCTGCATTTCAGGGACTTCATAAGGATTAACAATGTTAATGTTAGACCCCCCCTTCTCCTTCTTGTTGCGAAGTAGCAACGCTACTCGGAACACCTTCAGAAGTATGGGGCTATGACAATAGACACGATGAGGGATGTAATAATCATATGTGAATATAAAATTAAGTATATTTATATATGCATATTACTTGGTATATTCTTATATGTATATTCAAGTGATGATTCATATATGATTATGTTGATTGATGACAAAGATGGCTGTGACAGATGTGTTGGATGTGGTGGCGGAGGAAAAAGGAGGTGGTGACGCTTCTTATCTATAGATGAATATAACATGTCTTTTACAACGTCGAATCACTGGAGCGACTATATATATATATATATATATATATATATATATATATATATATATATATATATATATATATATATATAATCATTGTCATATTATTAAAAACTATATGTGATTGTACAATGCTTTATTATACGAATAAATGCATATATATTTTATATCTTCTAAATTGCTTTTTTTTTCTTAAACTTTATCTATAAAATTATAATGTAAATAAATATCTAACACCATGTTAGTTAGGTAAAATGATATTTTCCATAATTTTACCTTTTTAAAATATCACTTTCACTCATTTATCTTCAACTTTGTAAAATGTCATTTTCACCATTTCATTTTCTAAACTTTTATGTTTATCTTGGTGCTCATAAAATTTATTATAGCTAATAGTACAAGTGGTAATGCACAATATACAATCATATCAATGCTTAAAGTGCACTTCAACTTTGTATAATCTATCACTTTAAACCCCTCTATTTTTTAAATTGATATTTTTCATCCATTTACTTTTTAAAATATCACTTTCACCCTTCCACCTTCAACTTTATAAAATATCACTTTCACCCATTCGTTTTCTGAACCTTCTTATCCCGTAGTATATATAAATACGATTCCCCCCTTTACTTTGTAAAATGCATTTTTCACCCCTCTCTTTTTTAGAATGTTACTTTCACCATCTCAACATGAAAATCACTATAGCTAACACTACAATTGTTATTGTACAATGTACAAGTATGTCAATTCATAAAGTGCAACTTCAATCCCTCAACTTTGTATAATCTGTTACTTACAACCATTCTTTTTGTTAAAAGAATATTTTCTATTCCTTTACTTTTTAAAATATCATTTTCACCCCCTCCACTGTCAACTTTGTAAAATGTCACTTTCACCTATTCATATTTCTTCTTCAACTTTGTATAATCCGTGACTTGCAGCCCCTCTATTTTATAAAATGATACTACCTCCGTCCCAAATTAATTGTCCACATTTGATTTTTGAAATCTTTATTCTTTAACTTTGATCTTAAATATTTTTGTTTTCGATAGATAATAATTGATGCAAAATATATGAATGGTTGTATTTTAAATTTATTTTCATTGTTATAAGTTTTATCAAGTAATATATAACACAAGTAATAATATTTAAAGTCAAAGTTGAAGAAAAAAAACTTCAAAAATCAAAAGTGGATAATTAATTTGGGACGAAATGAGTATATTCGCTCATCTACTTTCCAAATTCGCAACAAAAACACGTAAAAATCCATGATAAAACGCAGACTCAATTACTAGTAATATCTGTAGTACAAATGTTTTATTATATGCATAAATACATAGATATTTAATATCTTTCAAATTATTATTTTTATACTTCGTTTACAATATTCTAATATAAATAAATATCTGATAGTATTTTACTTAGATGAATTTGAGACTTTTAACTTTTAAGTGATTTAACATCTTCCTATATATTTATTATGGTGATACGTTTACTTTTAAAGTTATTGTAAGTTTTTGTATATATATATTTATCAAACAATTTAAGTTTGTCCTTAGTTGTTATAAGATTAGATTAAATAAAATGAACCAAATCATTATTTTATGATAAATATATGCCAAACATTGATTAACACAAGGACATGTATTTTCCAATTGTATATGGTATATATATGTCGTCGAAAGAATCAAAAGAACGAAAAAAGTTTTTTGTGGATTTATTATTAGTTTGTTGATCTAACTGACTTCCATGAGATAATTTTGTTATTTTGTTCGATGTAAAATTTATTATTAATATATGATATTTATAGGACAAATGATGTATTGATGTACTCTATGCATAATACATAGATGTTTTGTATCCTTCAAATTAATTTTTTTCTTAACTTTATTTACAAAAATCTGACGTAAATATACATTTGATAGTATTTTAGTAAGGTGAATTTGAGACTTTAGTGGGTATATATGTATGTCGTTGTAAAAAAAAGCTTATCTTCTGTAATATTCATTACAATGATAAATTTATCTTAAATAGAGTTTTGTGTATATATCCATTAAACAATATAAGTTTGTCATCACTGTTACACGATTAGATTAATGTATCGAATTAACCAAATCATTATTTTTATGACAAATATAGGCCACACATTGGTAACACAAGACTATGTATTTGCCAATTGTATTTAGTATGTGAAACATAATTTCGTCAAAAAAATCAAAAGAACATACAAGTTTTTTATGGGTTTATTATTAGTATTTTAATAAAGTTAACTTTAAAAATATAATTTTGTTATTTTGATCGAACTTGTGATGGAAACTTTATTATTAATAGATGATATATAGGGATGATCGACTTATAAATAATTTTATATATTCAGATTAGATTCAAAGTTTTCAAATTCATCAAGGATAATGCCAAATTTTACCACATATTTAGCTATTCAATAATAGATACGTTTATATAAAGAATTTAAAACTCCATATAAATTGCAAACGAAAACTCACACTTTCTTTATAACTTAATATTTCAAACTAAATTTTGTATTCAAACCCCGTTTCAAATAAAAAAACTTTTGTATCTAAACTCTTCAATAATCACCATTGATATTTGATAAAAGGACGACTATGATTGCCCTTGGGATTAATAATTAGTCTTGCTTAAACATAAATTACGACGAGATATATAAAAACTTAACTCGAGAGAAAAGACTAAAAAGAATTTGAAGTTACCTCTAAAACCGGCGTTGTTGATCAAAGTATGGATGCAGCCAAAAGCCGCCCAAGCCTTTTGCACAACGGCTTCGATGATAGGACCTTTGGCACTGATATCAAGCTCAAGTGCCACCGCCAAGACATCATGTGTAATTGCTTCACCTTCGTTTGCATGAACATTAGAGATTTCCATGTTGTTAATTTCATGGCATAGAGCCTTGAGTTTGTTGGTTCGACGTGCAGCAGCAATGATCTTGCAACCAGCTTTGGCTAAGTCGATACACAACTCCCGGCCAATACCTGAGGATGCACCCGTAACCATCACAATCTTGCCTCTAAGGTCTAGCCATGGTTCAGACACGCTTGTTGCAATTTGTGTAGAAACTGCCATTGATCTTTAAACTTTGATAACTTGTTTCCAAGTTTTAAATGAACTAATAACAAAAACAGGAAACTATAGATTTTATAACGTAGCTATTGGTAGTGTACATGTGTAGTCCAAAACTTTCATGTGTTCGTATTTTTTCGGATGAAAAGTTAACTTTATATCCTTTTGATCATGAATTTAATAATAAGTGTGAATTGTTGGGTAACTCTTAATCTCCTATCATGTGTACTGCACAATAAATTTTGGTCGATTGATTTCCTGATTTTCAACCTCGGACAACTGCAACTTAAATGGTTAAAAAAATTCTTTTTGTATTTTTTGTTCAAATTTTATAAACTTAAATATACAAACACAAATACAAAGAAAAAAGAAATCTAAAACTACAAACATAAAATTGCAAAGGAAAATAAATGAGGATAAAAAAGCTTTTGAAATTTTGAAAAAAACCCAAATCAACAACTACCACAAATCATAAAGAGTCATACCATATTCATTCAAGGTTGTCAAAATCATGATCCTATCTTATATTTTTCGGATAATGCCATAAAAAGCCTTAAGTTTTGTTGAAAATGTTGGTTTTACCCTTCGACAGATGTTTGGTTTGTTAAAATTAAATAGTTTTTTAAAATTTAAATAGTTTTTTAAAATTTAATAAAACTAAATAGTTTTTTAAAATTTGATAAAACTAAATAGTTTTTTAAAACTAAATAGTTTTTTAAAATTTAAATAGCAAACTAATATAATTTTTATCGTACTTATATTATGACAACCAAAATCAAAATATATTTTTATCTTTAAGTACAGTAAATTTTATATTGATTCGATATAAACTTTTGATATTTAAATTTTAAAAAATTATTTAACTTTATCAGGTTTTGAATATATTCCTTAATTAATACTTAAACTTTTCAAAGCAAAATTAAAAAATATTTGTTAGCTAATATATTTGTGTAATAATTTAGACAAATATATTTATATGTTTTATGTTTAAAAGGTTTATGTTTGTGGTTCAAAAATAATAACTTATACAACCATATTTATTTTTATAAAAAAATATACAATATATTAATATTTATGAAACACAAACTTTTTAAACATATAAAAGATTTTTATTTTCCTTTAAAAAGATAAGTGCATGGAAATAATGCCACGACATAGTCTTTATGATCACCTTCAAAATTGTTCTACAAGCCATGGATATATACAACGAATCCAAAAAAACCACATAAATTATGGATAAGAATAAGATTAGATAAGTCTATATCACAAACTCACAGAAAGATATCCGACATGTGCTCACCGAGTGTGATCATAGTCTCTATATGGTTGCATTATTTCCTTGTAATTATTTATTAAAGGAAAATAAAAAATATTTTATATGTTTAAAAGGTTTGTGTTTCATAAATAATAATATATTATATTTTCTTATAAAAATAAATATGGTTTTATATTATTATTTTTGAAGCACAAACATAAACCTTTTAAACATATACAATATAAATATATTTGTCTAAGTTATTATACAAATATATTAATTATCATTTTTTTTTTAAAATTTTGCTTTGAAAAGTTTAAATATTAATTAAAGAATGTATTCAAAATTTCATAAAGCTAAATAATTTTTAAAATTTAAATATCAAAAGTTTATATTGAACCAATATAAAATTTAACGTATTTAAAGGTAAAACTATGTTTCGATTTTGGTTTCATAATATAAGTACGATAAAATTTATATTGATTTGATATAAAATTTTGATATTTAAATTTGAAAAAACTATTTAGTTTTATCAAATTTTGAATATATATATATATATATATATATATATATATATATATATATATATAATCTTAAGTGCTTTTTTTGCAAAATATTTGTAAACTCAAGGGCTTTTTTGTAAATAATATTTCATAGTAACCTGGAAACCTGCTATTACAGGTAAAAATGGCAAAACCGACAAAAAAAATGGCAAGTTTGTGGCATAAACGAACCAAAAATCTGTCAAAGGGTAAAACATATATTTATGGCCAAACTTAAGATTTTTTATGGCATTACCCGTATATTTTTTACATATATTAAGATCGTGACCTTAAGATTGAAATGAGATCAGAAAATCCTATTAAAATGAATTAGTCTTCAAATTTCCTCGCAATATCTTGTTTGTGGTGCACCCATAATAGCTTGATGTTGAATAATACATCCATGGTGTAATCAACTTTAACTTCTTAAACATAATGTATAATTGTTATTGCTACAACTGAAAAAAAAAATTATAAGAAAAAAAAAACAAAATCTTAAGCTGTTACGCATAAAAGAAAATAAAAAAAGCATCGTGACCATGATCAAAATAATAATATCACAAAGGGAATAGTATGAGTACGTTCTATATTATAATAGATGAAATGATGATACAATATTAGGCTTCTTTACGACAATGTCGGTTGATTTCATAGTTTAAATTTAGTGGAGGAATTTTGAATATACTCACGAAGGGAAAAGGTTGTCATTATCGCATCCGACCATTATCATTTTGTATAAATTTATATATTATATATTTTCTGACATGGTTCTAATTTTTATTATATAATTACTTTTTTAAGGTGTAATATAAATTAAATTATAAAATAAATTATTTCAATAGTTAACTATTGCATGTAAATTTTGAATAAGAGGATAATAAATAAGAAGGGATATATTGACGGATTAGCCTATTAGATTGGTAGGTTAGATGTTAGCCTATTAGATTAGTAGATTAAATGTTCAAGAAGCGTGGCCTAATATTATATATAACTTTAAAGTAAATTGCAGAATTTGTTAGACTATTAGATTATTAAATGTTCAAGGAGCGTGGCCTAATATATAACTTTAGGAGTAAATTGCAGAATTGATCTATGTAGTTTACCAAAAATGTAGTTTCAGACCATTTTTTTTTCACATACTAATGGTCTAAAATTCTATCGACTTAACTCTTATTAAATTGGTCGCATGCTCTTCATGTAAGGGCATATTTGTCATTTTCGTGGTTTCTCTCCTATTATTTTATTATTTAAAAATATCATCCATTTTCTCTCTCTCTCTCTCTCTCTCTCTCTCTCTATGTGTGTGTGTGCGCGCGTACGCTTGTGTGTGTTGATGTTTTGCCGGAAACCATTATCGCTACTGCCATTTACGGCGGATTCCACCTAGCCACCTGCTCGTTTGCATGTTCGTCCTCCAAATTTTAACATAACTAGTAAAGAACCCGCGGCTATGCCGCTTTTGGGGTAATATGGAAAAAATCGGCAAACTTTAAAAGATATGTGCTGAAATTGTAAATCACCATAACAAGATATTTTTACAAACTCGATTTTTCTATATCTTAAGAACAAGACCATATTTTTCCAGATCTGCAAAATCAAGAACCCTAGAATCATGAACTAACAAACTCGATTTTCTGGACATACAAATGAAAACGAAAACAAATCATTGGGTTTTTGAGATCTACAAACAAAGACTTAGAAACTCGTTTTTCCATTTCTACAAACCTCTAGTAAACAAAAATGAAAACCAACTTGATTATGGTTTTCTAAAAATAAAATTGATGGAGAAGATGATAGATGCTTATGGTTTCCTGATATGGAACATTGCATCTTCTCCCGTTGCAGAAACCTAACCCTAGTGTCGCCTTCATCCTCTTTCAACTATCGCCTTTATTGACTGAGCCGTGGATCGATTTTGCCACCACTTACAATAAATTCCGCCATCACCACTGTAACATCCCAATTTTCAAGACCAAAAATTTTGTTTTTAACATGACGATTTATAAATCAATTTATAAGAAAACATCATTGAGTTACTTCTATTCATAAAACCATAGTCACATGTCTCAACCATATCATCAAAATAGTAATAATGTCAAAGTACAATCCCATGGATCTCAAAATACGGAAATCATATGCGTGCGATGCGCTGCAACCGTGTCGGCTCCTTCCCCTTCGCTGAAGAGGTACCTGAAACAAAACTGAAACTGTAAGCACGAAGCTTAGTGAGTTCCCCCATCATACCACATACCATACAACATACATACTGCCGAGAAATTCTGGGGTGCCCGACCTACCCTGGCAGACATTTATGGGGTGCCCGACCTACCCATGTCAAGCGGTTCTGGGTGCTTGACCTACCCTATCAGGCAATTCTGGGGTACCCGACCTACCCTCAGGGCCCTTACGGCCGTGTCACGGGGACTATTCCCCCCTACTGCTACTATCACGTATCATCATATCATGCTAGCACATAAAACATATCAGGGAGTAGCAACCTAGATAATTATCACAAAAACAATCATCTAACATACAACTCCTAATAGTAGGCCGACATTGTGGTCGTATACCCACCGTTACTGGAAGGTAACTCACCTCAATGTCGTGAAGTATCCGAACTGTCCTCGATGCTGGGATCAACTCCTCTCAAACTCCTACACATAACAACCTTCCTTAATTAAAATTTCATACTCTTAACCCTTCCAAGGGTCAACTCAAGTCAAGTCAAATTCAAGGTCAACACCCTGGTCAAAGTCAACATCAGGTTGACTCAACTCGCCGAGTTGGTCCACCAACTCGTCGAGTTCCATAATCCACTAACAACCTAGAACTTCGCTCCTACTCGTCGAGCCTTTCAAGAACTCGTCGAGTTCTTCTTCATACGGAATCGGGACCTTTAGTCAATGACTCGCCGAGTTCGTCCTTGAAGTCGTCGAGTCCTTCCTCATGCAAGTTGGAACATTGGTCCTTGACTCGCCGAGTCTGTCCTTGACTCGTCGAGTTCTCCTTCATGTACATTGGGACATCGCCTTGAACTCACCGAGTTCATCCTTGAACTCGTCGAGTTCTTCGATCTTTAAGTCCATATTCAAGCCCATCTTGTTGAGTCCTCTTCTAGACTCAACCTGATTCCTCATAAACAGAAAGGATCGGGGGAACCATTACCTGACTCGCCGAGTCCCCTAAAGTCCAAGTCCACCCAGTCG